TTGAATAAAAAAACCGTTTTTTCCCACACGTTCACCGCCAAATTCTAATTTTGCTCCCTGCTTCTTCCCCGATTCGATATATTTCATGATTTTTTTAAATTGCTCATTGTTAATCTTGAAATGTAAAATTATTTACTAAAGCAATAAGAAAAAGTGATTAAACTCTACCTGGGGTCCTTGTTCCGTTTTTGAATCGAACGGATCGCCAACGATACGTTTACTAGCTAATTCAACACATTTAGAAACAAATTGATCATAGATTTTTTCGTGAACAAATGTCCTCGAACCGGCTGAACAACTTTGTGCTGCATTCGCAAATATTGCTCTAAATGCTAATGGCGCAGCATAATCCACTAAAGAGAAGAATGAAGATGACACATAAAATGTAATGTTTATAAGAGGACTTACGATCAGCATCTTCACAAATAATTAATGGACTCTTCCCGCCTAATTCTAATGAGACGCGTTTTAAATTTGATTTTGCTGTAAGTTCTTGAACTTTTCTACCGACCTATCATTAATTAAAGAAATACTGCCGAAGCGGCATAAAAGAATTGCATTAATATCAAAAACGTACCTCAACAGAGCCAGTAAATGCAACTTTATCGATTCCTTCATGGACAACGATCGATTGACCACAGTCAGGACCATCACCGGGCACAACGTTGACGACACCTTTTGGAAATCCAGCCTGAACAGCGAAGAAGATAAATAAAATGTGAAAAAGACCTTGTAGTTATTTAAATACTTCTTGAATTAAACTAGCACAATACAAAGCTGTTAATGGCGTTTGCTCGGCAGGTTTCATAACAATAGTGTTACCTACAAAAAACCAAGATATCCACATACACGGCATACCTATGTCAGAGCAAATGAAACTTACCACAAGCTAAAGCGGGACCTAGTTTCCAAACAAACATCATAATTGGATAATTCCAAGGTATTATCTGTCCACAAACACCAATAGGTTCATGACGAGTATACAAGAATGCATCTGGTGCTGATGGCAATGTTTCACCAGCGATTTTATCTACCCATCCAGAATAATAGTCAATGCAATCTGCTGAACTTATGATATCGAGTCTGCTTTCTTCTAATGGTTTGCCATTATTGAGAGTTTCAAGTTTCTAGAATGAAAAAAGAAGATGTCAAGCTAAAGTAATAAAGTCAAAATTTTGCTAACCGCCAAATAATCAATATCCCGTCGGAGATATTCGGCAAATTTTCTCATCAATGCACCACTGAAAAAGACAAGATAATAAAACATTCTGATTAATTTAAGAATCATTGTTTCTCTTACCGTGCTGCTGGTTCCATTTTTCTCCATTCTGAATCTTCTTTAAATGCCTGACGAGCAGCTTCAACAGCTTTATCGACATCGGCCTAAAAACATAGAAATGAAGTACTGATTTTAATCAAAATCATAGGAGGTTAAATAACATTTTACCTTTGTTCCTTCTTCAACTTGACAAAGTTTTTCACCGGTACTGGGATTTATGACTGCAAATGTTTTTCCTTTGGCTGCTTTATGCCATTCATTGTTAATGAAGATCTAGCAGAAATAAGATAATATATCGTCAGAATCAGTTAAAGCAAGTTTTACCTTTGTAAATTTGATACTGACAGTCTGTTGCGTTGATGAGTTCATCTGAAAATTATACAAAACAGAGTTCGAATAATTTTTAGTACATCTAATTATCACATTGAATAAATTGTTAAATATGCTCTGAAATCAAGCACCGAAATAATTGAGATAGCTTTAATCTGATAATAAAAATAAAACGACAGAAACTCTGTAAATGGACAAGGTAAGATAAGAATAATAGAAAAAATTAAAATCAAAAACTGTTTATTACTCTCCCATACAGTTGATGTGTAAGAAATATATATCACTAATAAAACAAGGTATTATAGTGAAAAGAAAAGAAAAACTAATCGTATATCTTGATTGAATTTCACTTAATGGATCATGTTGTAGAACTATAAAGCACTTCAGTTTTAATATCTACCTCTATCTGCCTAATTTGTCATCACTAAAGAGATTTTTATTGTAACTTAAGTCAAAATTCGATAGTTAAAGTCACACGTGCGATCATTTGCGTTTATAACGCTATTCATACAGAGATAAAAGAGAGCAAAAACTAAGTAAAATTATTTTCAGTTCTCAAACTAGAATTATGTGCTTCTCCACAACCTGTAAAGTGTAGTTTCCGAATCGGTTCTCCACCGGTTATTCATTGTAGTAACAAACTGTAGATGATACTTCAACTAGATTGTAACAAACATCATTTTTATCTTTTTCATCGGAACTTATATTAGATATATCAGCCCCATCCTCGAAATGGTCCATAGTCTAGTACTGAAACATTTTTATCATGCCTGGCTAAAGATCGATACCATATCACAGGAGTTATGTGAAAGCCAGAATCAACTGTTCACCTTCAAGCAGGGCATCAGGAGCATCATTCTAACACTGTAGTATCATTATACTCAATTGGCATGTAATACAATTTTCTGATACTATGCTTAGAATGAATATTGACCATTAATAGATTTTTCTTCTGATTGACTCCTATTTCGTACTCGCCATCATCATTCGCATGTTTGGTTTTGTATATGTGATCTGTTTTAACTGAAATACGTCCATTATTATATCTTCTAAATGAGCTCAAGATAGAGTTGGAAAATCGAGTACTACATTAGCCTTACTGATATCTACCAGTTTTTCAGATTTTCAAATTCTGTTTTTAGTTCTTCAAGCTTTTTTTTTCCTTTTTAGTACTTCTTCAGCTTTAATTTTAATGCACAGAGATCGATAGACATTTGCTAAGACACAAAGGATGCATTAATAATCATAGGCACATATCACTGAGACATTCGGTACAACTTTACTAAAATATTGAAATGATTCACTAAGAATCATTACAAGTCTATTGACATAAAAAATGACATTGTAGCTGACTGAACAAATTAAATCGAAACAATGCCTGAAATCGCGGTCCACAATAAATGTATCGTCTATTTCATTTAATATGTCTTCTCGATTTGACAGTTGATGCTTTTAGTGACCTTGGCATCATTATTCTGATAGTTAGAGAGATACGATCCCATTGCTGTAGCTATATACCTGTCTAAGGCTACTAACACCATCGGCTTGATAGAGATCAGGTATTTAATGTGCTGCAGGGTTTCCTTTGCAGAATATTATCACTTTTTTCACCATAAATGTATGTACCATCTGGGATAATGACGGTAGCATCATCGCCGTACGTCAACAACTTTTTAGCTAAGGGCGGAATATACTTCTGAATAATTTTTTCTCGCACTGCTAAGACCATATACTACCATTCGTCAATGAAAAAAGAGTCGATAATACTTCATTGCTAAGACTTGACTCAGTTGAAATCCCAGCTATCGTATAATATTCGGAATCGGTACACTTTAAATGATGATGAAAATAAAGAGAAGAAGTTTATATTCGATTGCCACAATTTGTTTCTGTTCGATTTGCATCAAAGAAAACATGAACATTATTTCATCAGTACTAACCGCACTAGTGGAAGATCGATTCTGTTTGAATATGCTCTATTAGAGAGAGTTTAATTCTGCTTTCAATGTACTTTGGAGTATGTGGTTTGGAATAAATATTATGACTGACAAAATGAAGTCCTAACCCTTTTACCTCCAGATATCCACACCCGTGGGCATTAATAAAATCGATATACAAAAATAATGGAGCGTCGTATCAGAACCCGATTTTGTTCCAACCTTAGAGACTTCATAAGCTCTCGACTGGTAAAAAGAAATTTTTTTCTATGGATCTTGACTGAGAATTAAATTAAACTTTTGAAATAAAAGAGTTTCAAATTTTTGAATTTTTTTAAAAGCTTTTTCCATAGCTTTAGTAATACAAGGATTTTCATATGTAGTGGTAGATAACTATTGCTACAAGGACCCTTTCTACAATTACACAAGAATAGAAATTTTCTGTGAAGTTGCCTTGATGCACCGTATCCAGTAATGAAATGTCCACACCTGTGGACATTAGGGGGGAGTGGCATAGAAAGTACTAATTTTTAAACATATACACATTCTTTCTTTCTCTTCTTTTCTTTTAAGGTGCAGAATTTTATTTTTTGTCTTTTTGCCATAGTTGGATAGAGTACATCGAGTTGCATAGAAAAAACTTAATCTCCCAATTTTGGAACACATTTTTCAGTCAAAAAAATTATAAATATCGATTTTTCAAAAATATGTGAAAATAGGAAAATTCTGAATAAAACTCAAAATTCAACCATTTATTCTATTTTTAAAATTCCAAAACAATTTTTTCTTCCTCTCCATCAAAAACTGAGTTAGAAAATCGATTTTGGAAATTTTAAAACTCAAATTGACTTCGAGAACCGCTGAAGACGAGCAGAATGGTAAAAGGTCCGCTGACTAATCTTGCAAGCCTATCTAGTCCTAGGATTTGGAAGATAAAATTCTCTTTCATACTTTATTCTCAATTATATACTTATGAGAAAAAAAAGTATGTACCGGTTTTGAAAAATTTTACTTGGTTATCGAAAAATTCAATTTTTATGAATTCAGTGTGAAAAACTCTGAAATTTAACTTGTACTTTGTCATTTTCTCGGTCAAAATTCAACATTTTGACAAAAATAAGATCATATTCAGATTCAGGATCACGAACTGGGTCGAATGACATGGGTACCAGGAGTTTTGAATGACCTCAAAGTTTTCGTTTTTTTAAAAAATTAAAAACCAAAATTTTCACTCGAACTCCAAATATTTCCCCAAACACTGAGACCTGTTTCATTCGATCCCGTTTTTTTCCTGATCCCGAGTATGACCTTGTTTTTCTCAAAATGTTGAATTTTGACAGAAGAAGTTCGGACAATACAAAGAAAATAATTGTGTTTTTCATGCTGTTCCCTCCAATGTACACGCCTGTGGACATTCTATATTCTGTCACCGAAGCAACTTTATTTTATTTTAAGTATGGAATGGGCATAGTGAGCACTCAGAAGTTCTACTTTAGTAGTCACCTTTCCTGGATCTTCGAAAAAATCCTCCCAGGGCTAAAGGGTTAAATGGTAAAGAATATCAGCTGAAGAAAAAATCATCACGACAGATAGAGCAATATGCTTTTGAACAAAAAGAAATAATAACATAAAACATGCACAGAACTGTTTGAAATTAGATTACAATCTACTCCATCTTACTAAACTTTATTTCTGTCAAAATCTCACCGAAAGTTATGGCGGTAGAAACAATCAGATCCACCGATTGCTCTAACTCAAATTGACACAATACACAATTAATAAGTTAAGAGAACTGCTGCGATTATTTATGATTTCACAACATTTAATTAATGTTCAACAGAGAAATTAATAAAACGAGTCATCGTGATTATTTTTGATTTCTGTTATGCATAAAAAACTAACGTCAAGAATAAAAAGTTAGAAATAAAAAGAATAACAATTCAAAGAAAAAAAGCTGTAAAAGTTCCCGTTTTTCCTGTATTACATTATTGTTTTCCAGAAAACCGTTGCCTCAACTGATCGACTGTTGCTGGTTTAATACATTTGAATAAAAGTGACACTTGACCAATTTTATGACCGGGTTTCAAGTAACAATGGAATGCATCATCAACAGCATATTTCGGTGATGTATGAGGAATATTGAGTTGTTGTTGTATAGTAAGACTTGTTGATGGCATGTAAGGTTCAAGCAAAATTGATAACAGATAAACAAGGTTGAGAGCAACAGATATTGTTGTACCAGCTTCTTTTCTAAAATAAAACAAGTATTCATTATAACTAGTCTCGTACAAAACAAATTTATTTTCAGATCATCTTTTTTAAACTTACTTTTCATCATCCGTTCCTTTACATTTGTTCCATGGTGTTTTCAATTGAAAATACTTGTTTCCATAATGAGACATTTTCAAAATCAATTTCAAACCATCACGAAGTCTATATATTACAAATTAGAACAATAATCACAACAGATATGTAATACATTATTCCATTCTAACCTTGTCTTATCCATAACATCAACAAACAATTCTAATTCATTAGTTATTTGCGTTATCAACTGTTTATCAAGATCACCTAAGTGAATTTCTGGTAGTTGACCATTAAAACACCTCTCACAAGCTATTAAAGATCTACAAGACAGAAGAAATGAATGTATCTATCATCCAACGAATGTTGTTTAAATCATACCTGTGTATAAAATTTCCTAAATTCTTTATCAATTCCGAATTATTCTTTGTGGCTAAGTCTTCCCATGAAAATGTACTATCTTGTGTTTCTGGTCTTACATATAACAAGTAAAATCTCCATATATCTACTGGAATACCAGTAGCTTGTGCTTGATCCCCAAATACACCTAAACCTCTACTTTTAGAAAACTTTGCATCTTCGTAATTCAAATAATCTTGAAAATCGAAAAAAAGACAAGCATTAATTATTTTCTCTTGAGTGAGTAACTCATTTACATATTACCAATGCCAGATAGATGAGCTACAGTCGTGTAATTGTCATTTGTACCCAATAGACAACTCGGAAATATGACGCTGTGAAATGGTACATTATCTTTGGCCATAAATTGGTACAACTCAATCTAAATAATAAATAGTTTTTACATTGCTTCTACAAGTGATACATCTGAAAATATTGCTAAATGATGGTGACGAGAACGAAAGCATTTAATTGATGAATACCTGTTCAGGATTATGCCACCATTCTTCCCAATCGTCCGTATAATTGGCTGTTATTGATATATATCCAATAGGTGCATCAAACCAAACATAAAAGACCTAACCATAATGACAATAAAACTAAATCTTTTTTGTAGGATAGTTTCAGTATAAAATATACTTTATCTGTATAACCTTCTAATGGTACCGGTGTACCCCATTTTAAATCTCTTGATATACAACGTGGTTTTAAACCTTCTTTTAGCCATGCTTCGGTTATTGTTTTAGCCGTTTTTGTCCAAAATCCTTTACTCGAGGATTTTTCAAACCATAAACGAATATCCTCAGATAGCTAAAAATAATGGAAGCTTCATGTAATTTGACTCTGGAAACAGAAAGAGAGAGGAGAAAATTACTTTTGGTAAATCGAGAAATAAATGATCCGATTGTTTAAGCTCTGGTGTATTTTTACATATTTGACATGATGGTTGAATTAGTTCAATAGCATTTATCAATTTACCACATTTGTCACACTAATTCAAGAAAAAGAGAAATCAATAAGATTTGTTTATTTTTTTCACCAATATTTATTTAAGTTTACTTGGTCTCCGTGAGCATCGTGAAATTTACATTTTGGATCTGGACACGTGCCCGTGACATATCGATCAGCTAAAAACCTGATAAAACTAGAATTGTCATCATTATGAATTTTAAAGTGTACTACAAATGCTTACCGTTTACAATTTGCACAATATAATTGTTCGACTTTATCTTTCAATATATAATCTCGTTTATACAATTTCCAAAATATATCTTGTGCTATTCTATAAATATAAAAGAACATTCAAAAACAAACAAACATCCGTTATCAATGTAACACATCTACACACTTACTGTGTTTGCCTTTCAGTTGATGTTCGTCCAAAATAATCAAATTTAATAAGAAACCAATCATATATTTGACAATGTAATTTGTAATATTTATCACAAATCTCTTGTGGTGTACATCCTTCTTCAAGCGCTTTTGTTTCTGTGGTTGTTCCATACTCATCAGTACCACATATTGCAAGGGTATTATAACCACGAAGACGACAATATCGAGCAAAAACATCAGCACTCAGTAGTGAACCAATTAGATTTCCCAAATGTGGAACATTATTAACATAGGGCAATGCCGATGTGATCAAAACATTTTTTTCACCAGCTTTCGGTTTACTAATGATACAATGACAAAAATATCAACTGATCTTATCGAACAAAAACCTTATATGCATACATTTTTTCATTTGGATCTCTTGCTGTTAGTATTGTAGATTGCGCATTCCATTTATAAATAGCAGCTTCTATTTTTTCAGGTGTTTGATTAAATACAAGTTCATTCTCTTTCTGCTGTCGTTCTCCTTTTTTTTGTGAAGATTGAGGCAACTGATGACTTGTTCTAGATTGTTTTTGCGCTAGTGTTGCCGCTGCTTGTTGTTGATAATCATTTTCTTTCAATTTTGAGATTGCATCGTGCTGTCCGTTTCTTTTATTGTTTTTTTCTGATGTTTTCTCCTTTTTAATATTTATGTCTTGAATTTTTTGTACAAAAGTTTCCAAATTCGTGGCAAGTTTACTATACCATCTGGAAATATTTGGATATGTGTTCAATAGCTCTAAAAGGGAGGAGAAATTATATAATTCATATTAATTACATTATACACCATTACTTTTTCGTTGTATATCGTCAACCAGCGATAATGTTGACCATAGACAAACATCAGCAGATGTTAGATTTTCATTCTACAAATTAAATCAGATAGCTTTCTTTAAACCTCGCATTTGAAAGAAAAGATACTTGAGCTAATTGTCCGTGTTCGTTCAAATGTTTTAATGAAATTCGAAAATCACCGTCATTAGACTGTGTTAATGAAATGGTTTGTAACAGTCTCGGCTAAATATCATGAAACAAATTGTTGAATATAATATAATACTTCATATAATAACAGAACAGATATATACTTGAAATACACTTGTGTCCCATTCAAGCCATTGGTCGATGAGAATATCAGATGACTCATTGTTATGTTTTCGAAACAAATATCTGAATATCCAAAGTAATATTTAAAATTTCATGTAGTAATATTTCTTTGAGACTATTCACTAAGGTCTATCGTTCTTTCAGGTTTTTCTTGTATTTTGTTTCTCTAATCATTTCTAAACGGCAAGACGCTCAGAACTCTGAGTCAGAGTTCTGAGCGTCTTGAATATAACGCGTCCGACGCGTTATATTCAAGAGAAAAGTGTGCCCAAGATTTTGGGATGTTCCAGCTTTTTACGTAATCTTTCTTTCAGAATATACAATAAAAAAACATACACATACTTTTCAAAATTTATCGGAAGAAGTAAGTGTCTGTATTTTTATCGTATGTTCTGAAAGAAAGATTATGTAAAAAGCTGGAACATTCCAAAATCTTGGGCACACTTTTCTCTTGAATATAACACAGTTCTGAGCGTCTCACCACTTGAAAATTATAATAGAACAAAATGTAAAAAAACGTGATGGAATTACACTCCGATTGTAGAGTTAACTGATCAAGCCATTTACCTTACAGCTTGATTCACATTAGCAAACTCATTTCCATTGCTCGTTTGAACTACAATGTAGAAGATATATCATTTTCATGTATATAAATTTTAAAGTAATAACCAACAGTACCATTCATTTTATCTGATTCTGTCCATTTTAAAGTGAGTAATTCACACGTGATAAGAAGTTTATTTGCATTTTGATCATTTAAAGAAATTTTTATCTTATCTGTACTGTTCTGAGCCATTTTTACGAGAAATTTAAAATAATTTAATTAACAAAATTGTCTCAATCCGACACAAATAGATTTGAATAGCCTTTAATTACAAACTTTCAATATCACTTTTTTCTTTTATAGTTAGAGCAATATGCATTATGAAATTCAAAAAACTTAAAATATTTGCAATAACATATCTTTAGTAATGTATTTTTAAGATGATGCAATTCAGTGCAATAATGAATCATTGAATAAAACAAAACTAGCACATATTTACATGGATGAATTAGACTAATCTAGTATTATCGAAAACAAGTAAACAAAGTACAAAGATTATTTGACTAGTTTAACAACAACAAAAAAAAGAAAAACTTTTCAATTAAGACAAATAAACAAATAAGTTTTCATATAAATGTAAAAATCTTATCGAAAAAAAAGATCATAAAAAAAAAGACTCAGAACGACAGTATTATTTTGTTGCATAATATAGAAATATTTCTCTTTTGGTCAAAAACGAAACAACAAAATAGTTGTGACTAGTAGAAGAAACAAAAATACTAATGTATAACTGTACCTCATAAAGGCAACAAAAATAATTTATAGATATTTAGAAGAACAATGAGTAGTATTTCACAGAAAAACGTGGCTATATTCAAAATAAAACAGAAACTTGTATCCGTATCTGACAATCATCATTTTCTTTGATGTAAATAAGAGAGACAACCATTTTCACTACAAAAAGCAAAGATGAAGATGTTAAATGAAGTAGAACATACACAAGCATATTAAAAAGACTCTTGATTGATAAATGTGGTGTTTTTAAGTATAAAATAGATTTTAAAATAATTATTAGTATTTATATTCACAGTAATTCTGATCCTCTTCTTCCACCACAAAAACTCATATAAAATTTTTTCCATGCTTGCAACGTTTTATGACTCATTATCCACGGACCGAATGTAATTCCTACGATTAACATACAAGTATATTTTAACATAAATATTTCATATCTAGGCCCTGTTCTTATTGCTGCTGTTGCTGCTGGTGTCGAAATGGATGAACATGTCAAATATGAGATATAATTTGATTCATTTGCATCACATAATTTTTTTTTCCACCAACGTAGCCAATCATTATAATTTATTTGTTCATACAATAAACAAGCAATAATAATCAATTGTGGTAAGATATAAATGACACTAAATAATCCAATACGAATCATAAATTTTTCTAATTTATCCGTCTTTGTACCTTCATATTTCATAACATTTCGAATTTTAAATACCGATATAAAACCACTTAATAAAAAACATAGTCCAACAAAAATGAAAATACAATTTGGAACCAATAAAAAACCACGTTGAACATATAAATCGGTTAAACCTGTATAACAAACACCCGTTAAGTAATCACCATCAATCGATTTTTTAAGTAATAATGCAGCACTCATTACAGTTGGGATTGCCCACGAAGCCAAATGAAAATAGACTGATTGTGCTTCGATTGCTTCATGTCCCCATCTAAAAAACACAAACCGATAATAACATTGAGTATTATCAACTCAAATCATCAGCTAGACATCTTTTCATATTCCACATAATGAAATATATAATAGAGAACTGAATACAACTTTTATCATTATCCATCCGCACATTCCAACTTCAACAGTCACGCAAGGATAAATGGAAACAAGAGATATTCGCCTTCTGTAAAACGTACTTTAATCCAGCTGCCATAAACCATGTTAGCGTTAATATTACCCACCAAATCATCGATGCCATACCAAAGAAATAGATTAATAAAAAGGTAAGAATACACCATTTATTTTGTGTACCTTGAACTAATAATCGTACGCCTCTGCTGCTATCTACACTAATTGTATCTTTTCCGACTGTTGTTGAATCTGTCAGTGATTGTTGTCCACCAATTGTACTTAAATCATCTTGATTACAACTTATTGTTGAATCAAAAAAATAATCGATAAATCCAATCAAATAAGCTATGGATAATAAAAAATAGCAAATAGATAAAAATAGAATTGGTCGTTCAGGATAGGAAAAACGCTTCATATCAATTAAATATGTAAAAATAGTAAATGATGTGGAAATCATACATAATATCGCTAATATTCCAACATAATAACGAAAAGTTTTAATACGTTCCTGATTATCCATATTAAATAACATTTGTTTACACGGCATACCACAATTTTCAACATGTAAATGTGAATTAAACTTTAATGTATATTTGAACTCTGTATTATATACACGAAATTGATATGGACATAGAAAATCTTCTAGATCATCTTTTGACCCACGTTGAAATTGTTGTTTTGATTGTTGAATTGACTTTTTATTGATAATCTGACCATCTTTTGGTGCTTCAAAACATGGCTGATCATTAGGATACTGATCACAACGTAATAATGGTGGCCAATTAAAGCCAAATTGCATCATGACTCGTTCACATCCAAGACGTGCCTCTTCACATAAATTTCGACACGGTTTAACAGCACCAACAATCACGGAACATATGGGCGTATAGACACTGCATAAAAAATATCGTAGAACTTTTGAACAATTTATATTTAATAATGGAAGATAAACAGCCATATCTGAATCAGCATCGTCTTGTTTACTATGTCCTAATAAATTTGGATACGTTGTCATATTCCATGGCATAGACGAACACAATCTTGAACTTGTTATAGCATCACATTTAAACAGATTATTGTTGTTATTAAAGTTCGTATTGCTCGAAAATAGATCATTTGACGACGTTATTGTGAATATTGAAACAATACACAATAAATAAACAAAATACATGATCTAAAAAATGAAATAAAATGTGGATAAATCTAACGGATACAAACCTAAAATTTTGAATACTTACAGGATACACATAAAAGAGAAATTAAAACGCAATACAATCAAATAATCTTTATAGTAGAAGAATCATAATCGTCAAAGTACAAAAAGGTTGTGTAATAGTCTATAATTGCGTTTAGCATATCAGAATACAGACAGAAAAGGTTACGTATTGTTTAACTTTTTTTTGGTGTGTTATATTACAAATAAAAGTCCCATTACGAATATGAAGTACGATATTCCTCGATAATACGTTGATTTGAATAAATTCGCAGGAAAAGAAAGAATCATTCATACACCATATATTTATACTGGTGATAATAGTATAGATGATTTTTTTCTATTTCTGTTAACTGTTAAGTTGCACTGACTAAGAGATATACTTACTGTACAAACATCCACACACATATATATAACATATATATATGTTTATGCTCAAACGAACGCAAAAGAAAGTGTAGATATATGATGGACAATGCTTTCGGATAAAAAACAGAGAGAAATTTTGTTTCACATGAACAGACAAACTCTCAAAACATTTTTTCTTGTGTTTATTTTCTCATCGGAGATGATAATATGATAATAGTGATTAGATGAACTGAATCTCTTAACAGCTCTATTCACAGCTTCAGTTAGAAAATTAGTCAAATAAAACAGACAAAAACATAACTGAATACTTATTTATAGAATTGCAGGATAATTTCAAAAGAACCTCACCAGATTTTAGTCAAAATCTACCCCCCTTTGTTCCAAAAATCCTATACTAGGATTTTATAGCCTGTCCTTCATCGAGTCTAATCGTGTTTCTTTTTTATTAGAACTCATGAGAATCCTCAGAAAAAGAATCTTTTGGATGACCCCTCATTTTCGATATAATAATACTAGAAACCAGAGACCTCAGATCTTCTGATTTTGGTATAAAAATTCTGGTTTTTGGAACATTTTCTGCCTCGTTTCTGCTCTTTGTTGTTCAAAGGCCTATTAATTTTCTGATTTTGATTTTTTGTTTCTGAGTTTTTTCTGCTTTTGGGCTTTTGATTTCTGATTTTCTTGCTTTGAATCTGATATCCCTGCTGAAAATCCTGTATTTTCATAACTAAACGATCTCAAAATAAACAGTTTTTAGCCTTGGATAGGGGAAGTCAAGGAGCACAATTTGTACTAAAAAAACCCTTTTAAATAATTTGAATAAATAGTTTTTCATATTAAAATCTTGGCAAACTCTTAAGTGGATACTATCCACTCCAGAATATAACCAACGTGGACGTAGGTCGCGAAGTATAGAAGTTTTGCTGAGATCTGCTTACCTCTGCCTCATTAGGACTGACAACCTAACAAAACCGCTCCATCGATAGATTATCTACCACGCTGAGTCTCGTACAATGTTTGTTTTTTGAAGAAAATTCAAAAATCTAATAAAAACCTATATTAGGTTAAATAATCAAAATTCATTTTGGGCTTTTTTACGAGAAAACTAAAAAGTTCATAAATCAGTCAAATTATTAGGTTGAGGAAAAAGTTCGTGCGCCGTGTTAAAATAATGATTTTTTATATATTTTTTTTTGTGTTTTTGATCTGGTTTTGTGGCTATTATGAAAATTTATTGATTTTT